TCAATTTTGTGTGAACCATTGTATTTATTCAAAATTTAAGCTATTAATTTTTTTTTCATTCGCCAACCTTCTTTCTAGTGTCTATTGTGTTATTACCATTTAATGAGCGTATACAGGTTTGGAAGCAAATTACAAGTGTGGATCATCGTTGTAATCTTCAATTATGTGTAAACCAATACTTACATATCCAGCTTAACTCGATCCAAACAAAAGAGGTTTGCTCGACTATAAAATTCCATTGGACCTAACCTCTCCCAACACAATGGCAACTCTAGCCCTCATCACTCCATCGCAGCCTCCAAACTCCTGAAAAAACGAACCCTAGCCAACCGGCTACTACAGTGTTCTCCTTCAAAACCACACCACCCAAAGAACGATCCTTACTTGGGGGGTGGGGGGGCTAGTCAAGACTCATGGTCGACTGGTCGACATGAGTTACCAGGGGAGGAGCACACGTGCAGCAGCCGGCGGCAACCAAGGGAGGAGCAGACCAGCTTTCAGCGGCGCCAGCCGACAGGATTGTGGGGCGGCGGCACCGGCCAAGAGAGGGTCACAGGAGAAGTTTGGTTGGAAGGGGGGAGGGGACTGGGCGATCTAGGTCTCCAGGGGGGATTGGGCAAGCAAATAGAAAAAAAATATGACAGGTGGGGCCAATTTGACTCGTTCGACTCAAAAACCACGACTAGTTGATTGAGTCGCTCAACTCAGCCAACTAGTCAAGTCGACATGTTGAGTCGACCTGCCAGTTGCGACTCGTCGACTAGTCGTGACTAGTCGTTCGACTCAAAAACAGTGCTAAGGCTAAACAAAGATCGGCCCTCACAAGTAATCTGAGCATACGAGTTATACTGGCAAGTGGATTCACTTTCTCTGTGCGCTTAATCCATGTCAAGATTAAGCAAAATCTCCGATCGATCCACCCAATTATACCTCAATGAGTGGAGGTACTCTCACAGCCTCTCTATAACAAAACCCCAAAATAGATACAGAAGGATTTGATCTGAAACCAGTAGTAATCCCCGCGGCCAAATGTGCGTGAGGTTTAGTCTAAGAGTGGTTCCGGTTTTGGAAGGAGAACAGGGGTTGGGAAGGAGGGGCTTGAATTCTATGTGAACAATTGCTCTATTCATCAAAAGGTTAAGCAATCAATTTGCCCGTCTTCTTCTTACTATCCATTGTGGTATTACCACTTAATGAATGTATACAAGTTTTTTAACAATTCAAAGGATTAGAAGCTCCTACATTGATACTACAACTAGGCGAGGGGGGGGGTCTTCAATTTTGTGTGAACCATTGCTTTTATTCAAAATGTTAAGCTATTAATTTTTTTTTCATTCGCCAACCTTCTTTCTAGTGTCTATTGTGTTATTACCATTTAATGAGCGTATACAGGTTTGGAAGCAAATTACAAGTGTGGATCATCTTTGTAATCTTCAATTCTGTGTAAACCAATACTTACATATCCAGCTTAACTCGATCCAAACAAAAGAGGAGGTTTGCTCGACTATAAAATTCCATTGGACCTAACCTCTCCCAACACAATGCCAACTCTCGCCGTCATCACTCCATCGCAGCATCCAAACTCCTGAAAAAACGAACCCTAGCCAGCCGGCTACCGCAGTGTTCTCCTTCGGAAACACACCACCCAATGTACGATCCTTACTTGGGGGTGGGGGGCTAGTCAAGACTCATGGTCGACTAGTCGACATGAGTTACCAGGGGAGAAGCACACATGCACCAGTCGGCGGCAACCAGGGGAGGAGCAGACCAGCTTGCAGCGGCGCCAACCGGCAGGATTGTGGGGCGGCGGCACTGGCCAAGAGAGGGTCACAGGAGAAGTTTGGTTGGAAGGGGGAGGGGACTGGGCGATCTAGGTCTCCTGGGGGGATTGGGCAAATAGAAAAAAAATATGACAGGTGGGGCCAATTTGACTCGTTTGACTCAAAACCCCACGACAAGTCGATTGAGCCGCTCAACTCAGCCAACTAGTCAAGTCGACATGTTGAGTCGACCTGCCAGTTGCGACTCGTCGAGTAGTCACGACTGGTCGTTCGACTCAAAAACAATGCTGAGGCTAAACAAAGATCGGCCCTCACAAGTAATCTGAGCATACGAGTTATACTGGCAAGTGGATTCACTTTCTCTCTATGCGCTTAATCCATGTCAAGATTAAGCAAAATCTCTGATCGATCCATCCAATTATACCTCAAGGAGTGGAGGAACTTTCACAACCTCTCTATAACAAAACGCCAAAATAGATACAGAAGGATTTGATCTAAAACCAGTAGTAATCCCCGCGGCCAAATGTGCATGAGGTTTAGTCTAAGAGTGGTTCCTGTTTTGGAAGGAGAACAGGGGTTGGGAAGGAGGGGCTTGAATTCTATGTGAACAATTGCTCTATTCATCAAAAGATTAAACAATCAATTTGTCATTCTTCTTCTTACTATCCATTGTGGTATTACCACTTAATGAATGTATACAAGTTTTTTAACAAATCGAAGGATTAGAAGCTCCTACATTGATACTACAACTGAGCGAGGGAGGGGGGTCTTCAATTTTGTGTGAACCATTGCTTTTATTCAAAATGTTAAGCTATTAATTTTTTTCATTCGCCAACCTATTTTCTAGTGTCTATTGTGTTATTACCATTTAATGAGCGTATACAGGTATGGA